ATAATTCAGCACTCTGAGGAACTGAAACAGGAGGACTGTAAATTCGAACCCTGCCTGGGAAACACAGCAATTTAGCAAGATGGTCTCAAATTTTTAAAAAAATAAAATAGAAAGAGGGCTGGGAAGGTAGCTCAATGTAAAGTTCCTGGATTCAATCCCTAGTTTTGAATATATATATAATATACCTTATACTGAAAGGACTGAAAGAGACTGAATCTGATGTTAGACAATCATACAAGCCATGTTCCCCGGGAGAGATCTAGTTTACACCTGTTGTCTCAACAAGTTACCTTCTTCCTTCTTCCAGTTATCCTAGTTCAGATAATAAATTATACAGTTATACAGTTTGCTGTGAGGAATCTTGTTAAAACAAATGTAGATAACTCATACAGTCTTTTTCTGATAATGTCCTTGTGTTCATAAAGAAATGTTCTTACTATAAAACAAGGGAGGGCAATAGTAAAAACCATGAATTCTATCTTTCCTGAGACTAGAAGATATCTGTAACCCAGAGCCGTAATACATAACTCCAAAAATCAAAGAGAGGAAAGCAATGGTTTATTGAGACAGAGTAAATTAAAACTAATATGCAGTAGGGGGGAATAACAATGAGAAGGAAACTAATTTATCAGGAAGAACAAAAGAAAAACTAAGGAACTGGAGTCACCATCACTGAGTGCTGTAAGGCAGCTACCCCATCGTTTTGTAAACAAGGAGGGGAAGAAGAGTTGGAGGGAGAGGAGAGAAATGGGAGAAAAGAATCAAGTTATATCACATACAAGTATAAATTCCCTATGTTGAATGCAATCATTATTTATATCAAATACGTACCAAAAAAATTAATTTTTAAGACGAACTAACCAAATACTGTGTGCCGCAGTGGAAGCCTCTGAACTCCAGGTTTATAACACTGCCATCTAGGTGTATTGTCCAAGAAGATCTAAGAAAATAGACCACCTTCAAGAAAAGGAGGAGTCCTGCAAACAATGACATTTGTAGCAATCTGGTTGAGCAACTAATTTCCCCATATGTAAGTTCTATGAGTCAACAAGAGCAGTCCAAGTCTAAAGAGAAGAAGAAAAAATAGAAATAAAAATAAAACAATTTTACATCATGCCTATATCTAGTGCCCGACTCTTAAAAGTGAACAGTTTTACGGAAAGCTACATCTTGAAAGACAGAGACTAAAAGACAACTGTGGTAGGGGAGAGAAAGAAAGGGAAAGAAGAGAAGAGAAAAGCAAAGCAACAATCAAGAGAAAATGCTAAGGAAAATTATAATTAGTGATAATGACTTCAGAGAATGAGGAAGATATGGGTGCTATTCTCACGAAAAGCACAAACAGAAATTAAGAATAAGCTCTTAGAAATTTAAGTATTACATCCAGATTTTTAAATTATTCAATGAAACTATGAGGTTGTAAATATCAGGGAAGAAGAAAAAGGAAAGCAGAAAATCAATTCAAACACCAAATATCTGCAGAATAGGAAGTTAAAAAACAGAAAACAAATCTAAAAAAAAATTGGTGTGCAGAAATTATCAAGATATACTGCAAAAAAAATTTTAGAACTGACAGATATAACTATTCAGATTAAAGGAGCCCACCAAGTATGCAAAACGATGAATGAATTTCATTTATGAAATTTTAGAAACCTGTAGGTAAAGAGAACTTGCTAAAAAAGAAACCTTAAATACTTCCAGAAAGAGAAAAACAAGTCACATATTTAAAAATTGGGACTGACAGTAGTATCCTATTTTTAACTAGAAGTCCTGGGAGGTATGAGAAAGTACAGGAGTATCTCACAAACTGAGAGCAACATCAAATTCTAAAGCATTTAAACTATCAACCAATTTGAAAGTAGAATGAAAGAGTCTCATAAAATATAACTCTCATTCTCAGACAAACTTTCTTAGGCAAATGTCCTTCACAAAAATGATAAGGTTAACCAAGGAAAACAGGACTTATAGTCGAGGCAACAGAAGATGCAAGATGAGAGAAAAGCAAAAGGGACACTCAAGATGGCCCCTGGAAAGCCATGGGAAGACCACTGGTTATGGACCGTCAGAGGACAAGTTGTTACGGCCGAACAAAGAGAAAAGGAAGGGTGTGTGTGTGTGTGTGTGTGTGTGTGTGTGTGTGTGTGTGCGTGTGTGTGTAAAACTGAGTTGAATGGAATTTTATGAAACTATAACAAGATATAAATTTAGCCAGAGATTCCAGAGAGTAAGAGACATGAAAATCAATGAAATCAGCATTGATTTTATAAAAACCAATTTATTTAAAGAAATAAAATAGTGCATTCTCCAGGAATAAGCAATATTAAATTGTATACTGAAAACAGAAAATATGGATTTTACTATAGTTACACCTTGCTCTAATTGTATCCAGAGGATGAGGAGAGATTTAAAATTCTCATCTCCCTATAATAAACAGTATCTGCAAACAATTAATTAAGAGACAGCAGTGTATCCGTATTATGAAGAAATCTGGAGGTAAATATCAGAATAAAAATAATTAAATGTAAAAGTGTTTCTGGAGAGATTCGCAATGGCTGTTAAGCAGATACAGCTGGGCAATTTTTGAGTAAGTCTTCCAGCACTACTTGACTTTTTAAAATTATGGGCATGTACTACTTCAACGAAAATAAAAGTATTCTCCAAAAGTAAGGCTTCTTTGTGGGCTCTTTTTCTTCCATCTAGTAATTTGTTAATTATAATAATAAATCTGTGTAAGATGATGGGAGCTAAAGCATTAATGAGGGGTGAAAGACATTATCACCATTTCAATGTCATTGCTGAAGGCAAAGCAGACCCAACAACCTGAACAGTGAGTACCGAGGGTATTTTTCATAATTTCTGGCACCCAGAACTGTTTGAACAGCCTTCGTGAATGGAGACAGTTACCAGCAGTACAACTGCTTCCCCAGCAGAGGAAGCCAAGCCTGGATTTCCCAGGGTCCTTTGCAGCCCGAGCACAAGCACAAGAATCCAACATGGAAGAAAGTGAGGTAAAGAAGAAAGCAAGCACCGTGTGGGAGCCTTTCTGGCAGAATGGTAATACATGACCACCTGACAACTGTTAGGTTTTGCCGTGGCGTGACAGAGAAGCAAGGACAGAAAAGGAAAAAAGGCCTTTATTGCAGGAATAGGAGGGCTACAAAACAGTGCAAGTCCTGTGGCGGCAAACAAAGAAGCAGCAAGCTTTTATTAGGTTTGCAGGGGGCGGAGTTTGAAGGGGCGGGGGGGGGGGGGAATGACGTATTGGCAGATGATTGGAGAAACGCTGGCGCATGTGCAAAAAGCTCAGCTTGGAAAAAGAACCCGGAAGTTAGTATTGACAGGAAAAGGTTTCCTCTTTAGAGTCCAGTGCCAAGTTGGGCAGGGGCTACACTGAGCCTGGCAGCGCTTCCCACGAGCAGAACCCATCAACAGCCAGCTCTCAAAGCAGCAAGGAACTTAAAAGTCACTGAGCCAAGCCAGCAGCAGCTGGATGAGCCACACTGCCCATGGGGAGCAGGGAGAGTGAGCCATTAGTCCGCAGAGCCAGGCCCTGTTTCTGCTGTGTTGCTCATAGCCTGCTTCCCTGGCCTTGCATGTTCTTTAATCAACTTACTCTCCTCTCACAAACTCCTCTTCTGCTTTTGTTAACGAGGGTAGTTTGTGCTATTTGCAACTAAAAACCTCGCCTGATGCTGGGAGTTAAACTAGCATAACATGGCGTGGAGATTGAGGAGGAGAAAGAACATCACAGAATTTTACAATGTTGGGATCCAGGGGAAACTTCCCCTGCATCAACCAGAACGGGAGGAAAGGGAAAAGCAAATGAATGTGACAGCTTAGATTAAGGGGCGCTTAAAGACTCCAGGTCTGAATTTGTTTCCTTACATTTTAGGACAAGCTAGACTTCTGACGTAGCAGATAAATCCAAAGCCAGTAAGATACAGTTGTATTGTTGTTACAGGGAGCGGTTTATCCCATAACTGGTGTGGCCAAGATGTTTAGGCCACGGTAGTCAAAAACCTGAAAGGAAACCTATGCGTCGTCACATTTAGACTGCCCTGGGCATTACTTTCATCTACTCAGGCCGGTCAACAGAACTGGGCATGGTGGTGCATGTCTGTAGTCCCAGAATTCTGGGAGGCTGAGGCAGGACAATCACAAGTTCAAGCCCAGCTTAGGGAACTTAGTGACTCAGTGAGACCCTGTCTTAAAATTTTAAAAATTTAGAAAGATCTCAGTGCCGTCTGCAAGGGTCCCTTGAAGATCTCAGTGCCATCTGCAAGGGTCCCTTGATTCAGCCCCTTAGCTCAGTGGGGAGACTCTGAATTCAATCCCCAAGACCAAAAATATTTAATTTTTTTTTTAAATTTAAAACTCTCTACTGAATGCTCACATCACCCAGCTCATGTGTCTCACCATCAACCCTCTGTCCTTACGCCCTTTCCTAGTATACACTGTCCTCACTGTTCCTCAGATATGTCAGATGCAGTTCTTCCTCAGGACCTTTGCACTGACAGGCTCCCTGGATCATCTTCTCTTAGAAATTCACATAGCTCACCGCTCCCCTTTAAGAACCTGCCCTGCCCGCACTGTTTGACATCCCTCTTCTCCCAAGCATCCTAAGGGCATCTTACACTGCTTTACTGGTTCCATAACACTCTTTTTTTTTTTTTTTCCCATTTTTACCGGTACCGGGCATCGAACTCACGACTGCCTGCTTGCAAGGCAGGTACTTATGCCGCTGAGCTAAATCCCCAGCCCCCTGGTTCCATAACACTCAGCACTCTCTAACTCACTGCACAACTTAGTCATGCCTTCCATGTATTAACTGCCTCCCTTGACTAGACTGAAGCAATTTGTTCTTTTTTAGTCTCTATGTCAACAAATCTTCCAAGGAAGCAACATATTTTTAGAAGCTGCATATTCCAAGCACAACTGAATCTTAAAAAAAATAAAAGTAAAAACCAGACACCAACTGGCCTGAGGTCCATGAGACTCACCTGTCATCTGAGCAGCAATCCAAAGGAATCAGCATGGTGGGTTGCCTGGGTCTCTAACTGGGGCTCCTCCAAGGCAGTTAGCAAATGACTTAGCACTGATCTGTGCTCCTATGGGCTGTCCAAACCCACCTGGTAGCCAAGACCAACTTCTGTTACATTCTGCAAGTTGGAAATTACAGATGCAAGAAAGAAAACCCAATATACACATACACACAAACACACACAGGCACATGCACATGCACAAGCGCACACACATACACACAGTCTAGCCCAGGAGAATGCAGATAGTCCGTAGATGGTCACCCTGCTTCCCTAACCTGACAAGCTGATTCCTACTAAGCCTCGATTATACCTAATATTAAATTCCACCAACATCGACCTCTCTGGCACCCTCTACCACTGTTTGGAGACAGGAGCACAGCCTGGGAGAATCTGGACAGCAGCTGTGTAGCCTTCTCCAAGCTGTGCTATGCCTGGTCCCATCCGCCCCACCCCGGAAGAGTCTCAAGGTCACCAGAAACCACAAGACCCTGGGCAGCCACTTAGGGTGTCCTGGTCCCTCCCAGCCAGATGGGGCCTCTGCCCAGCTGGACATGAGCGAGCACAGGCAAAGCACATCCTCCCAGCAGTGAGATGCAAGATGGGAACAAGCTGGCCTGGGCCATGTGGGGGCTGTGATAGACGTCTCAGACTGCATGGCTTAGAAACAGGAGGAATATATTTCTCAGCAGTTCTGATGGCTGCCAATCTGGGTCTCACAAGAGTCTGGCTATGATTTGTTCAGTGCCATCTTGAGACTGTGTCCTCTCAAGGCACAAGGAGCAAGGGTGCTGCCTAGGGTCACTTTTATAAGGGCATGAAGCTTGGTCCTAAGGGGCCTGCCCTGGTGACCTTATCACACTCCTGGGTTCCTGGTCTCACCTGGAAGAGGGAGGAACCATGGAAGGGTCTGAGTCGCGTGGGACTCAGGGAAAACGGTTGCTGAAGAGGCAGCTGACGTTGCTGGCCTTGGGCTGACAGACCCCGAGTCCACCGGGACAGCTGAGACAGACAGACAGCCCGGGCTTTCTCCCAGGGTGAACTGAGGGCTCTGAGGCAACCAGAGCTGCATGTGGCAGGTGAGGTGCAAGCCTTTCATTGACTGATGACTTTTAAAGGGATCTTCTGTGATGTAAATAGTCTTTGAGCCTTAGGACAACTTGAAGTCTTTGGGTATTTTAATTCCTTAAAGCAAGGGGAAGGAATATACAAGTAGAAAGGAAGACACCTGGCTTCTGTACCCTGCCTGCCATCAGCCGCTGTAGGGGATCAACCGGCCTCCCCTGGCAGCAGAGAGAAATGTCACTGAAGCCTAATTCTGCGAGGGAAAGGGACCCTCATGTCGGCACAGTGAGGATACAAATCTTGTCTCCGACGATCATTCCAGACCCCCTCCCACTCCCAGTTTCATTATCTGCATGAAATACCTGAAGAGATCCATGTATGTGTGTATATACACTGATATACATATATTATTGTTAATTAGCAAGTAATGTTTGTATCTATGTGTGGGATACAGTGTGATGCTGATGCATGTATCCAGCTGTAGAATGACAAAATCACGTGAACATAGCCATCCCTCACCCACTTTCTTTTGTACCCATGATCGAACTCTCGACCTCACGCTTGCAGGCAGGCGCTTGTGCTGCTGAGCTGTATCCCCGGCCCCACCCCTGCTTATTTTCTAAATGTGCATCATTATTAATTCTGGTTGGCACGCTGTGAACAGGCCCTTCCTATTTAGTCTTCCTGTCTAGTGGAAACTTCCTGTTTTCTGACCCAAAATGCGTCAATTTGAAATTCTGTCACAGCAACAAAATAACTCGAGATTGCCTAAATCTGTGCTCTCGAGGGAGGACACCGCCCAGGTCGCTCTGTCAGCACAGTGGACAAGGGCGTAGATGCACAGGGTTCTCACCAGGAACTCCTGTTTCCTATCCAAGATGTGAAGTTGGGGGTGACAGCAAAACAAAGAATCCTTCGGTTTATATTTCAGATTGCTCTAAGCAAAACTGCTTATGAGTTATCCTTGTCTCTGAGGCCATTCATTACACAATTTTTAAATACGAAGACGAGTCATCTATGAGGGGATTTTTTTGGTTTTTTGTTTTTGCAGGAAGTTTTTGATCTTTTCGAGACAGGGTCTTACCATGCAGCTCAGGCTGGCCTGACCTCACTTGGTAGCCCAGGCTGCTCTCCAACTCTCAATGATCCTCCTGCCTCAGCTTTCTGAGTGCTGGGATTACAAGCTGTTGAGATTCAGCATTCGGCAATGAGCATGCTTGACTGGCACCAAAGCTCAATGGGGTGTCCTATTTCGCTGTTTCTCTGAGATACATATTTCAGTCTTGTATTTCACAGGATCCGTGGTCCGAGCCAAGTCAGCATCTTAAAAAAGCTAACCAAAGTCTCAAATCTGCATTTCAACACATTTAGGTCAGGCTGTCCCTGTCCTGTAAGTCCCAACTTTTTATGAAGTGCCTGAAGTTACATTTCTGCACGCAGAGTGACACCCGAAAGAGAGTCAGCTGCTAGTGCTGACAGTAAAAATTAAGAAAAAGCAAAGCCGTCTGAGGACTAATGGGCCTTCCGGAGAATCAGTGCGCCGCGCTCGGCAGCGGGGAGGGTCAGGCCCGGCAGCACCGGTATTCTGAAGGACTCCATGTCTTCTATACAAAAACAATAAAGGCAATTTGTAAAATTGCTTCAGGACACTTTAGAGCTGGTGTGAAATAAAAATTGCTCATTGAGTGGGCCATAAGTCATTTTCGTAAGAGTCACTTAAATGTTTCAGTTGTGGGGAAAAGTATACGCTGTACTTTGAGATTCTTGTTACTCTTGAGGCATCCCTTGACTGGCAAAAAATCTCAACCATCACCTGGGTTAGGTCTTTATTAACTGACTGCTCTGCCTTGCTCTGCCCAGCTCTGCCTGCCACGCGGTGATCAGGTCTGTGACAGTACAGCTCTCTGTCTCTCCAGACTCCAACCTGAGGACTCTGCGCTGACCCTACTGTTGCCCCGGTCACCTCTGCATACTCAGGGACGTGCAGGACATGCAGGACAGTTCTTGTGGGCAGAGTGCCTACATGTCTGGATTTCACTCTGAAAACAGCTCCCTCTAGAGGCAGAAAGTCCCAAAGGTGGCTTTCCCGGGAGGCAACACCAAACAATCCCAAAGATTTAATAGCAACTGTCCAGTCACTTCCTTTATTCACCTCCTAATTTTTTTCTTTTTGTGTTAAGCCTGTAGAAAACGGACAGCATGACTTCATCATTTGAAAAGCACAACTGTGTAATACTGGCCACTGACCTTCTGCCCACAGACACAGGCGTGGTTGCCTCGGGGAGGTAAACCCTTGGACTTGATGGACTTATGACTCATCTCCTTGAGACCAAACTGCGTAAGCGCTCTTCTCTCATCACAGAAAGCCTTCCCTTCTTTCCACCCTCTTCTGGAAGCTGGGAGAAGCTGTCTTGCTCTGATGCAGGGCGTGCTCACGAATCTGACACCTGGGACCGATTACTCCCCAATATCCTCTCCTCTTAGACAAGATTATCTTCAGCAATACTCGCAAGATAAACCAAATAATAATAATGTCCAGGGAAATGCAGATAGCAGTAAGTTTCTGCTGCTGAATTTAATAAGTATAAAATCATGTCAGTAAAATTTAAATAATAATAAAACAGTGGCACAAAAAAAAGGAACAAAGTTTGTTCAATAGCACGTATTCCCCTCCTGAATGTGCAGGGGTAGAGAGGCGAGCAGCTGCCTCTCTGGATCACAGAACGACTCTCTGGCCGCTTTCTTCTCAGTTCCGGTGCAGGAGGAACCAGCCTTCACATTTTTATCATGCTTCAGCTTTCTTGCTTCATCCAGAGCATCTGATATACTCAGAGCTGTTTTAGTAAACATGTCCCCAAAATTCTCCTGGAATAACACAGTGTCCTTGTGCTTTTTGGTCAGATTAATTCAGATTCATATCCAGTCCTCTAGTTGCTACAGATAATTTCCTAGAAACATGTAATGGCTCCTGAAATGTCCCCTGATGTACCAGTCATTATCTCGGTTGTTCTATCTTTTTTGAAATGTGCCTGCACATAAAATCCAGTCCTTGAGTCAGAAAACTCACGTACAAGAGTCTCGGTGGGGTTCATAAGGCTCATGTCTTGGTCCATTCAGCTGGCTTGTCTCTCCACCAGCACTTCCCATGTGACATGAGACACAGCCGCTGATGCCCTTACCTTAAATAATAATATTTAGAAGTCTTCTAACGGAAGACTCTGCGTGCTTCTAACGGAAGCGTGAACCCACCACCGTGTCTGCCTTCCAGGAGCTTCATTCCTAGTAGGACCTGGACAACGTGTGGTTGATTACACATAGGAGCCCTTGTGAACCCTTGGCTCCTTCCCACGTGACAGTACTTGTGTCCTCTCTGAAAGGCAAAGACACTAGCACGCGTGTATAAATCTCAGCAGGGAAGTAAATGGCTACCTGTGAGCTACACAGTCTTTTTATTATGAACGTACTCATTTGCCAACCTTCAGTCCCAAAACTGAGAAAGGGAACCTGTAATTGGATGCTATCGATGACTGGGTATGAACCAGGCAGGTCACATGAAGGGCAGAGGCAGCAGTAGGACCCCTCTGCAGAGCTTGACAGTGGCCTGGTCTCCTCCTGTGTGCTCTGCTTAAAATGGCCTGGAGCCAGAGTGGTCTCCAGCTCTAGATTTTTGCAAATATTAGAAAAACGTGAAAAGAGAGATCTCACCCAGACAGCTGAGGATGCACTGTGGTCAGATTCTGATTCTTAAATTTACTTGCAGTAGAAGATAAAGAAAGAGAATCAAAACATTCATGTTAAATATCTACCTCTAAGATTCTGCACCATTTACTCATCCTTATTAATTAATTGGAGGTCTGTAAAGGAAGAGAATGTTCATTCACCACTAGTTAAAACCTGCTCCAATACAGACAGGTAAGACACAGAAAGCCTCAAGACAGCTGCTTTTGCCATCATGATGAGAAAAATACTAGTTGAATCATCAAGATGTTGTAGATGTGAAGAAGTCTAAAGTGAATTAATTACGCCCCAGAGAAGGACAAGCCCGTGCTGCGTACACTAAGACTGGCAATGCTTTTTGCCTCTGAGGGCGTCTTCCAAGGGAAGGTAGAGCAGGGGAAGCCAGCTTGCCAGATGTGAGGGGACCTTGCTGGGGTCAGAAACCACAGGAGCCAGCAGAGCGCTCTGGAACCTGGGAGGGCTGTAAGCTCTGAGTCGCTTCTCTGTGCCCCCCAACCCTCCCCATGAGAACTTTGCTTAGAATGCTGGGACGCAGGAGCTGGAGCTGGGATAGAAAGCAGGGAAAGTTTTTTCTGAACTCCTGGTATTTAGATCCCCAAGCTCTACTGAAGGGAGAGACTCCACACTTCACTCTGCTATCGAGGCACAAAAATAGATGCACTGACCACTGAAAACAAACCTACAGCCATCTGATTCTGGATCAAAAAGCCAGAAACGTGTTGGAGAAAACACAGCCTTGTTAACAAGTACACTGAGA